ACTACAGAACCCAAGGCTACAAAACCCAAGACTACAGATCCCAAGACTACAGAACCCAAGGCTACAAAACCCAAGGCTACAAAACCCAAGGCTACTAAACCCAAGGCTACAGAATCAAAGGCTACAGAAACCTTGCTTGCTGTAGTGTCTTTGACGTTAGCACACATATACGCACGCACACACATATACACCAGACAACCATATAAAGTAGCACTCTCCTATGACCTGACCGTTGCATATATACACACGCACACACATATACACCAGACAACCATATAAATCAGCACTCTCCCATCATCTGACCTTTGCACACATATACGCACGCAAATACATATACACCAGACAACCATAAAAGTAGTACTCTCCCATGACCGGTACAGAAGTTCGACAGTCATGAGGAGAAGAAATATACCACAAAACACCGTTTTGAAATGATAATCCGTGGGAGACTCTCAGATTTGATGGACAGGCCGGTAGACATGACAGCGATACACACACGCACACACACACATACGCACAAACACACGCACATATGTACACCAGACAGTCATATAATGCACACGGAAAAACACACGCACACGCACAAACACAAGGACACGCACAAATATACGCACATGCACTAACACACGCACACATGTACACCAGACAGTTATACAATACCACAAAACTTCGACAGTCCCACCAGCGTCAACTCTATGTACACACCACGTCTTGCACCTACCGTTAAATTGGTCACCTGCAGGAGACTCTCGGGCACCTGGGTCAGGCGGTTGTCGCTGACATTGAGCACCTCGAGACTGGACATGCAGGCTAGCTCGGCCGGGAACTCCTTGAGATGGTTGACGTCCAGGATGAGTGTGTGGACGTGGCTCAGAGCGTTGCACTGGGCCTTGTCTAGCTTAACGTGGTTGCGTGATAGGTTCAGCAGACCTACAGACTTGTCGATGTTCTGTGCGAGTGCGGGCGGGCGGGTGGGAAGCGGAAGGGGAAGGAAAGGGAGGGGATTCAGATACAATACAGCCTGTCTGTAAATGGCTTGGTGGATATAGTGTGTATATATGCCTGTATATGGCTTGATGAATATAGAGTATAAATACGCCTGTATACGGCTTGGTGAATATAGTACATATATATATATATATATATATATAGTCGTTGGTAGAATATAGTGTGTATATAT